TACTCCTTCCTATATCCCCTATATATATCTCCCATTTATTCCCTTAACCGATATTCCTTCATGGTATCAAGAGCCAGAAAACCTAGATCTTCTTTTCTCTAGGTTATTTTTTCTCTCTTTAGGGCACCGATCGTTCCCTCTCTTCTCTTGGGCGGTGGCAGCCATGACAACCGAGGTGGATCCTCTCGATTCCCTTCCTTATGGCGTTAAACTCCTTCTCAGGCATCTTTATGCCCTGATTCCCGAAAAATTATCAGACATAAATTACCCTACATGGAAAATCACCGTTCTTACAGCCCTTGAGGCTAATTACCTTCTCAAATACGTCGATGGAAGCACAGAACCGCTGCCGGCAGTCATCACCGCCACGGACAAATCAGAAAAAGCTAATCCGGCCCATGCAGCCTGGAAAACCGTGGATGGCCAGATACGATCATGTTTGATTGAGGTCATCTCTCCCACGGTTCAAAAAACACGTCCGATCCTACACAACTTCTTCAGCCCTGTGGACGGCCCTCGCAACACGCTATGCATCAATTTCCACTCTCATATTTTTCAATTGCGTGATCGTCTCCACACAATTACCAAAGGCACGAAAACTATGGCGGAGTATTTAGATGAGGTCTCCATCATCATCACAGCCCTCGGCACCGTGAACAAAATCATTCCCGAAAAAGATCTCGTCATGTGCGTCGTTCGGGGGCTCCCATTAGCTTACTCCTCCATTACACAGGCGGTTCGCATCAGTCCAACTCCTGTTGACCTGACTACTCTCTCCTCATGGCTAAAAAGTGAAGAAATCAACGTGGATATGGAGAGCAAACTTCTTCTCAGAGTAGCCGCTGTTATGGAGCCGGCCACCGCCCTCACCGCAAGCCAGAACTATCACGGGGGGCGTGGTGGTGGCCGGCAGGGGAGCCGCGGCGGCTACGGCAGAAACAGCAGAGGCCGCGGGCACGGCGGTCGGCAGGGCAGTCATCCGCTGTACGACGGTCAGCAGCACGGCAACAACAACAGGTTGCACTCCTTCGGCAGCGGCGAGCAGTCATCTTCCAGCGGCGGGCAGGGCACTTACGAGCGGGATCGTCCAACTTGTTAAATCTGTCAGAAAACATGACACACCGCTGTTCGTTGCTGGTTTCGGTATGAGAAGAGCCGAAATAGTGATAACCGTGCCAATTATGCATCGCAAGCCGGCCCTTCCTCTAAATGGCTGTTGGATACTGGGGCCAACATGCACGTTACTTCTGATCTATCCAAGCTTAACGCTCCAAATAAATATCATGGCTCCAATGGTATTACTGTTGTCAACGGTGAGTCCCTTAATATTTTTCACACTTGCACGGGTACCATTAAAAACCCCACCGCTATCTTTCACCTAGGTAACCTTACCCACGTCCCTTCTATTAAATCCAATCTCCTTTCAGTTCACCAATTCACAAAAGACAATAATTGCTCACTCTTGTTCACCTCTAATGATTTTCAGATCCTAGACAATACTACCAAGAGGGTGATTTTTTAGGGCCCTTGTGAGAATGGTCTGTACGTTCTTCCTGGCACAAGTTCGTCTGCCCACCCAGTTTCAGAAAGTGTTCCTGTGGCTCCGGTGGCTCTTTCGGCTGATGGCCACAGTCTGTTCTGGCACT